GCCTTTTCGATTTAGCAAGGTATGAGTTATAATTTATATTGATAAGTGAATTGTAGAGATCAGCAGCAGTTTATCTACTCCTGGATGCAAAACTTATGGATATGTAATTATTTTATTTTACTTTCATGTTAAATTCTTTAATTAGCCGATAATGATGAGAATCCACCCTGGAAGTTGCATGGAATCTCTAATCGTTTGGTTGCTAATGTGCAAGAAGTCTTGCGTTCGAGCTTAGCCGATGCCACGAAATTTTTCTCAGCAATTAAAGTGTCCTTAAAGGTGTCCAAATTTCTCTTGGATGCATCCGAGTTTGTTTATTGCTTTCGAGTTTCTCAGGCAACATTCAATTCAATCCAATCTTTTTCTCTGAAAAATCCCAAACTGGAATGCACCAGTATTCGTTATCAATATGAAGCCCTTTGTCTGTGGGTGTATTTTTTCTCATGAGTGACACTTAGTTTTCTTTGTAATCTAAAATAGTTTAATTTTTCTCATATAGAATGCTCCAATCGATGAATGCGTATTCGATGTACATAGAGCCAGAGCACAGGCAGATTTTTTACGTGACGGCTCCAGAGTTCCTTCATCGAATGAGTCGCTTGGGTTTGAGTCTAGTTGAGAACACAGAGGAGGAAGAGGCATTACTCACCTCTCTTCCTCGTTGTGATCATTCTGCTGGATTTCTTCGCGATCCTTCCTTTTGTTCATTCCCTCCCGGCACTCTGGAAGAGATGAGTTTTGATTCATCATGTAGAGTCACTTCTGTGAGTCTTTATTGGTTGTGATATGAGGCCTGCTATTTTCCCTCTCCTTTGCATTTGAGAGACATAAACTCGTAATTCTACGTAGCTGTGTGTGCAGCAAACGACTAAGTTATCGTTAATCTAAAGATATGTGTCAATCGGTCTAATCGAATCATTGTAATGACCGAAATCCTTCATATTTTTAAAAATTGGTTTACGTAGTATGCGTTGCGGTATTTGTAGTGCTTCTTGATTGGCCCACCTTACCGATAGTACTTTGACAGACAGGGTCAATGTAATCTCCCAGTTCACGAATGGAGAACGCATTGAGGAAAGTGAATGTTAATAGTCTGATATGGTTGAGCTCATTAAATTACCCCATCAAGATACCGATTCGATTTATGGAGATTTTATCAAGTATACTACCATCATTATCTTATTCTCTCCCATAAAGCCAAGGGAAGATTCTGAGAGTTCTTTGTTTCCTCCATTGTTTTGAGGCAATAAATTTCTTAATTCATTTTAGAAGGTGTTCACAGCACTTGGTTTGAGTAGGAGAAAGATAACTTGAATTAGATTTTGCAAGAAATTTGCATTCTGTCACTCCTATTATTGATTGGAATTAACTCGTGTGGTTGGTCATCCATGCCATTAGATGTGTTGCAATATCTGACGTAACAATGCTCACGTTAAACATCTTCGGCATTTTTTAAATAGATATTTCTTAGGCTGATGAGATCGTAAACACAGTCTGCCCAGTGATGTGTGTAAAGGTCAAGGGTTGAGCAGGGGGAATAGCCGACTACACCGCATAATTTTGTGGGGGAGGGGGTGGGGGAATAAGATGAGAGATCTCATCAGATGAATTTCATGATTCTGCCTTTCAACTCAAAGCGAAATGCTTTCCCCACTGGACTTGAGCCTTGTACGATTACTATCTAAGAATTAGAATATTATTATTATTAGCGATAACAATTGTAGTAATAAGATGAGGTAATAATTACTGCTCTATTTCAGCAACGGCGATCAACCATTGTGGCCAGTATTAACGAGAGTGAGTGTTTGAGTAGTCTCGCCCAAGATACTATTCCTGTTGGGAATGTCTCTCATCATTCAGCCGACAGTGATGAGCGAACTGGTGGAATTTGCACGGCTTTGGCATTAGCCGAATTGGGTTTCTTTTACTGCGCCAATTGCAATTACCATCTGGCATGCCGATTGGCTAATCTAGCTCTGAGAAGAATTTGCATGAAATCCTCTTCTCCCCGAGTTGTGGTTCAGGTCTTGCGACTCGTCTGTCAGATCTGCCTGATCCAAAGGAAGTTTGTATTTGGCATGAAGATCATCCAGTTGGTTGCTCAGTTCACCAGGTTAGTCGTGCGCTTGCTATCGCCTAATGGCTCTGTCGCTCTTTCTGGAAGCAAATATTGCTGGTGTATGCTGAAGACAATCAGTGATGTGGAACCGGACAAAATACACCATAATTTACAATGATGTGAGCTCTTGTTAGTTAACCCAAAGTTTCGCCATACTACTAATAGATTTTGAGTCGCTTTCAACTTGGGTTCTTTCATTCCCCCACCCTGTTCTCTTCGCCAAGTATTGCTTCTTCGGTGAATGTTTTGTTGCAAATCTTGTTTTCCATTCAATCGAGGACACAAGATTAGGCCACTTCTATTTTAATGACTTTGCGTAGGAAACGTGTAGGGAATCAACATTGTGATCTACGCCTCATGTACTTGCGATCTTACTTATTCACTTCAGTCAAGGTCAAAATGCCTCCACAAACTTCCCTACTAGTTATGATGGCTGACAGTCAATATTTCGGTAAAGTAAGCACTTTTGGCTGTTGAATGGTATTTATCAGTGTTCTTGTCATGAATGATCCTCTAAGAACTCCCGACACTGAGGCCAGCTCTCTATTGTAACCAATGGTCAACATCAAATGATGAGTTTGTTTGTCCATAACCTGGGGTTGAGAATTGTAGACCCCTTTTCACCGAACTCTTCTTTTCTCCTCTCTAGAGAAACACTGGGTTCGCACAACATCCTCTATGCAACTGTTCTGCTTGACCTTACCTGTCTATTTCTCAATACAGATACTACCTCAAGATCTTTGGAAACCTACCTGGTGGGTCATCCTTTAATCTGTGCGCAAGACTTCCCTTTATTCGTCAAAAAATGATATGCCTAAAGCCCATAGCGATCCTTTATTTTGTTGGGAAAGTGCTGATTGGTCCACCAGATTTTAGACATTTATTAAGCAGGAAAAAATTCAAAGATAACTTGTATGAACTTGACAGGTTAGACAAAGATGAGAGTCAACTTGATAATTAATCAGGCATAGCA